TAGAGCATGAGAATTTCTAACCTGGGAAACAGCTCCCCAAAGACATGGAAGTCGAAACAGAAAATTGGCCAAACAAACTTTGAGAGGAATATTGTGGCCAAACAGGTTAATGAAAGTCTCTGATGTTCGCATAGAGCTTACATAAAAACAGGAAAGTTACTTTACCTGATTGAGTATTCATACAGCTATTACTGGAATACTGAAGCATGTTTTGATGTTGAAATTTAGTAAAAAAAGGGGGGGGGGAGGATTCAGAGCTGACCCACAAAAATAACAAAAGAATTGAAAAGAGAGCATAGAGATTCCATCAGAAATTCCATCTACTTAGTTACTATGGAGTGATTTGCTCTTACTTTATAAAAATGTGTTTACTTTATAAGAATGTGTATCAGAAGAGAAATTAGATAGGGCTTTTCAGTCTACCAAGCAAAAGTATCATACATGTAATGCCACAAGACAAAGCTAGACAAATTCAGGCTACAAATAAGGTGCAAATGTTTTTATGAGGAAGGTATTTAGCTACTGGAACAAGTTATCATGGCTCTAGATGATTTTCCATCACTGGAATTTTTTAAGTAAATAGTCCGTGTTTTTCTAAAAGATATACTATATTCCAAGCAGAAACAAATTGAGGCAATGTCTAAGCCTGTATGAGCTTGGCTGGTCAGACTACATCATCACAACTATCCCTTCTAGCATTACAATGTATGAATCCATGACTATCTAAAATGAGAATAGTGCCTCATTTACAAGCCTATGGTCTTATTTAGGCTTTTTAAATATTGGCACAACATTACCTTTCTTCCAGTGCTTCAACTTCCCCTGTACTGCAATACTAGTTGACAGTCAGGATTTAGGAGGATATTAATTTAAATTTAGCTGTCTAAAAGTTACCTGTTGAGTCTGAACTAATTATCTAGGTCCTTTCCTATACTCAGTGGAGGAAGATAGGCTCCTTCCACCAGATTCCATTCAGATGTTTTTGACACTTACTTGCAGCTAGTGTAAATCTACAGCTGCTTCTCTTTCCTCGTTGACCACAGAAGGTGCCTTAGTTTAGACGACTATGAACTATACACCTAAAAGTGGCTAAGTTGGAAAGGAATTCATCCTTAATGTTCCAAAGATTTTTTTTTCAAAACCCTGTATTCATGTTAGTTAGATCCACTAATTTAAAACATCTGTCTTTACTATAACAGGTGCCTGTTACTGCTGGGCAGATAGTATTTCACTACCATCATATCATATCACTAACAAGTAAAATATTTTTTAATAGCTCTAATTGAACAATTATTCAGAATTCTGTCTTTCCCATTTAATGGACAGGACTGTATAGGCATCTGTATAGGATCTTTCTTCTTTCCTGCCTTAGGGTGAGATTTGCCCCTCTCAGCATAGATATCTACAGCGTAGATGTGTAGATCAAAATTGTGAACCTGGACTTCCATTATAACCAAAAGACACCATGTAAGACTGTCAGTAGAGAACGGGGTGCCTTATTTTAGTGTAAATTAGGACAGAAGAACCGCAATAGAGAATCTATTTCTCATCCCTGACTATTAAAGGAATTTGAATGATTACTTCAGAGAGAGATGTCTACAGTGTAGACATTATAAGTTGAATGCTTTTATTTTATTTTATTGACATATCCTGCTTTTGGGTGATTATTTTTCCTTCTTTTCCTCTTACTTTTTTCATGACTTCAATAATCTCCTGAGAAGTCTCATTAGCCTCTTCATGACAGACCGTGCTCATCTCAGCTTTCAAAGAAGCCAACCAAAAGTCCTAGGTGGACTCACAGAAAAAAATATAGGATTTTATCCTACTCTATACACCCTGATTTCAGTAGGAGTCTGAATGGAAAACAGTTTTCTTAAAGAGCTGGATAGATCCGTTCTTACAGGTTTACAGCTATTTAGCAAGTTTGATTGTGCACTGGTTGACATTTTTTTGGTATGAATGGATGGTATGGATGGCTGGTTTGATTTCGTGTTTATGAAAATACACTCTTGACAAACTTCCATTATTTTTGCTTTTTGTGGGACTGGTTAACGGTCAATCCTTACGGTAAATTAATGGCTTCCAAGGTTATTTCCTTCCTACTGCCTGTAAACAAACTGTGCAGTAAGGAATCTTGATGTTCCTCCTCCCAGGTATGAATTTGGATCACAGTCACCTCTTGGCTATGAAAAGACTCCAGCCTACCAACCTGAACAGTTTATGGCATGAATCAACAGTGGGGCCTTTTGATATTAGAGATGATTTCATTGGTATTCTGAATGACTTTTAAAAATCTATCCCAATACTTTCTCAAAATGTGATATTTAGCAAGAATGAAGACAAATTCTACATTCTTCATGGCAAAGTGCGCTAACAGGTGATTTAGTTTTATTGCCCTTCTTTGACATCTTAATTATTGATCAGTTTTGGTTGTATTTTTAAACACTCAGAACCAGTCTTTTCAGGAGCATCAGTCTTTGTTCCTCAAAAAACCTCTGAGATCTTGCAGAGGAGGATAGCTAAAGTCAATCTCCATAGCGTTTTGAAGTATCGAAAGTTGAGCAAGGTAACTTATCATTTATTTGCAGACCTAACAACTCAACTGAACTTCTCTTCATGAAACGAATATTCCATTTCTGAATGATACAGAACAGAATGCAGACATTTTATTCTACATATTGCCATAACTGTCTAAACAAAAGGGTGATAAAATCTGTCCCCCTGACATTATTTCTTTTGAGAAACCCACTTAACTGAATATAGTGAAGAAAATTCTTTCCACATTAGGTGGAGACTAAAGGGGATGACTTCTTCTGGACACTGGGAAAGTTTATTATTATAACTGCTTTCTGCTAAACTGTAAACTGTTTCTGCCACTGCTAAACTGTAGAATATTCCTCAATTATCAAAAATGAAAAAAGGAGAAGGGTTGCAAGGATCAGTCATTTTTCCACTTTTGATTGAAATCATTTGAACCATTGAATCATTCAGGTTGGAAAGGACCTCAGGAAGCTGTCTAGTCCAACTTCTTCTCAAAGCAGGGTCAACACTGAATCCAGACCATGTTACTAGTGGGTTTGTTGAGTCTGGAAAACCCCCAAGGACAGAGATTCTAGAGCCTCTCTGGGAAACTGTTTCAGTGTTGCATTATCCTCAGAGTGTTTTTTTTTTTTCTTATATACAGTTGGAAGCCATCTGTCAATTTATGAACCATAGTTCATGCATATGCTTGTTCACATGATGAGAACAGGTCATTTATACCCTCATAAGTTCAGATAACTCATGAATTATGAGATGGGAGGCAATTCCACTTGTTTTTTTATGATGGACCCACTTAAAATCATGTGATCATATATTTGTACACATGTGATCTTATTTGTACATAAAAAGGAAAGTGCACGTTAGTCAAAAGGATTAGCCCAATTCCTTTAGAGGCAACAGATTTAATTCTTTATTTTGTAACTTTATGCATTATTTTACGAGTTATATTTTCTCCCTCTTAACATCTTATAGAGATTACAGAACATTATGAATATATTTTTTAAAAAAACTCATATTTTGCTGCAAACTCTGTTTTTCTTTAAGAGTAAATAAATGCCTTTAATTAGTCTAAATATTTTAACTAGGCCTGAGGACTAAGAATGAACCTACACCCATCTGGAATTATTACAAAAGTATATCATCAAGATTGTTTTCATGCAATACTTTTAGTGTGTTACAGCTTATAAACCTGTATAAGGACCCGTATAATGAAGTGAATGAAAATAATAGGTCACAGAAAGGCAGACAATAGAAAAAACAGGAGGACACATTGTGGATTGTGTCAGTTGAATGGAAAAATAAGCAACAATAGAAGTCACCAGACACTAAAGTTTGAAAATGAGCTGTAGCAGAGTATAGATTTCCCTGTGCTATGTAGCTAGGATACTGCAACTGTAATGGGAAGAGGCTACTGAAAGCAGAAAGAGTAGCTTAGGTTTGAGTCAGTCCAAGTACTGGCTTTTCAACTGAGTCTTTAAACATTGCGACCAGCTGAGTCTTTTTAACCAGACTATAGCCAACTATAGATACAGGTTTTTTTAATCAGACTTTTACCAACCATACATATAGGTACGATCATGCAAGACCATTAGGCTGTGCCAGAATTGAAACTAATCATAAGAAAATGTACTATCATTATTGTTGACAAATTTAACATTAACTTCTCAAATTTAACATTAACAATAATACTGCATCATAATTTAACTCTTTTTTTCAATACATTTATCTACATGTTACAGAAAAACCTGCAAACAGCAAACCTTTCAGGAATTTTATTAAAATTGACAATTCTTACAATCTCCATCTCTAAGATTGTAATCCTTATGCCTCCTATGCCAATGAAATAACTCTACTGGCTTCAATTTCTGAGATAAAACTTAACTGGAAAAGTCTTTCTGAGAGAAAATTCTTACTAGAGAAAAGTCTCTGGGGAATGTGGCTCATACTTAATTCTTAAAATAAAATTCTTTATAAGTGAATACAGAATGCACTGAAACAAGTCCAGGTGAACTAAGCTTTTGTATTATTCTACCTTAATTTGGCCCTTAGAGTATCTTATAACTAGATACAGTTGCACTGAACTCTTAGGTGGCTTTCTGCCATACCAGGTAACTTCCATTAAGATGACTCAACTTCTTTTGCAAAAGCCACTTGAAAATGATAAAATGCTGATTACCAACCTAAGTAAGACTCAGGTAAAGCATTCTAGAGGTGAATGTCAATATCATATGTCTATATTTTAATAATCATTTAGCTGTGAGATCTTTAGAACTGAAATATTCTTTCCCAACTCATTGTTTAACCAAATGTTTCTAGGAAAAATTTCAGAAAATTCAAGGTAGGCAGCAGTATTCTAAAATGTTTTCAAAACTATTTCAAATTATAGCACCTTTTTTTTTTCAACATGTCAAAACCCTTCAATGATTTGAACTCCAAAGAAAAAAAGTCTTTCACCTCACCTTCACCACTCCATTTTCATGCATGGTGATACAGTTGTTGGGATCCTCTGAAAGCTGATATAAAGCCTGAGCTGTAGCTCTGTGGACTGATGGATCATTTGATTTCAAGTAACGTACCAAAGGAGCTACAGCTTTCGTCTCTCCGAAAGTAACTCTATTGCTTCCCCACATGCAACAGTGGGAAATGGCCTCTGCTAAGTGACGTCTTAACTTGTCATTGTTCTGAAGAAGATAAAAACATAATACATAAAAAATGCAATGTGTTAAAAAATTCATAGGAAAGCAGAACTGTATTCTCAAACACCATAAGGAATCCCAATTTAACTGTAATACTATTTAAAACTAGAGAGAACTGTGAGGCATGGAGTTAGTATCCTCTTACTATTCTCTTTGTAAGAGATGCTGTGATTTTTTTTCTATATGTTTTTAAAATTATTTCAAAGGTGTTTTTAGAATGACTGGAGATTAGCATTACAATGTTACATACAGTCCCATCATTGAGACTCTCTCTGGTTCAGATTTATTGCTTGCTTAGTCCTTTGTGCTTTTTCCATAGGGCAGCTGCACCACTGAAAAGCAATATTCTGCAGTAGGGATTATGAAAATTAAGCTACTCCAAAGCAACTTTGGAGAGCTAAGGAATGCTTTCATGTCCAATATACCTACCATAGTGGAAGATTCTACAGTTATTTTTCTTGCTGCTCTAACATCTGCTGTTCATGTCCTAATCTTTTATTTGGGTGTGATGCAATTTGACATAAAAAAATTCAGACACTTAGTACATGTTTAGATGCTACTTACTGTGTTTGCTAGTTTTGACAACAGAGGGACAACTCCATGGTCTGTTATAACAGCTAAATTTTCTTCATCCTTTGCTATATTTGTAATGGCTGCACATACACTTGCCAGAACTTCTTTATTCTTTGATTTTAGCAAATTGACTATCAGTTCCAAGCCACCAACAAAGGACCGAACCATTTCTCCAGAATCCTAATTGAGAATAAAAGAATCCTTATTTTAAAATATTCAATCCCTATTTGACAAACAAATGTTAAAAAAAGGAATTGACATGACAAATATTCAAAAGACTGCAGCTTCTTCTTTGTGTGGCCATCACCAAGAATCATGGCTAATTCATCTCTCTTGATTGACATATGTGAGTTGTTAGGTTGTTTTACAGACAAAAATCTAGGAAGAAATTCAACATCTAAATAAATATATCTAGTGCCATTTTAGATGCCACAGAATATTGTTTCCAAATTCACGCTCTCATTCCAGAAGAGCCCCTTATCTACTGCAGGTCTCTCTTATCTGCTGTATCATATTTGCCAGGTGCAGGTGAGTGTCTCACATGCCTCAGGATATCTAAAACTTCAGCAGAACCCCTTTTTCCTCTCCCACAGTTTCCTCTGTTTCTCATTAGATCTGACAGTGAAGACAAAGGAGGAGTAGTATTACTTTCTTATATCAATAATAAATGTGCATTTGGGAATACTTACAAATCTATACAAAAGAAGGTTACAGGAGCTGTGACAGCAAATTTGAGACAATTGTCTTGCATTTCAGAATGTACACCTCCAAACAGGTTCTAGGGGTTTGGAATGGCATCAGAGTATGAATAATCAACATAAAGTATAACCAAAGGTCACAAACAGGACTCCGGAAAAGTTTAAGTATGCTTTTAGAACAGAAATATAAGTCAGAGAGCACCATTAAATCTGTATAAATCCATAGTGTGCCTCAGCGTTGAATAGAGCATTCTACTCCACCTTACCCATCTTAAAAAAATATAGTAAGATCAAAAAGGGTTTAGAAAATGACAGCAGGGATAATCAAAGCTGGGAACTAGCTTTGGAACTAACCAAGTAGGACATGCTATATAAAAAGGCTATAAAAATAAAGGTAGATGACGAGGTATATCATAGAATTATATACTATATATTCTTAAGCATATACTATATGTTCTTTCAGAACTGGAAGATTCCTACAGATCTCAGAATGGTCCTCCAAACCTTTCAAAGTACAACCTTCTTATGGGGAAACTAGAGATGTCCATCTTCTCAAAAGTGGCCTTCAAAAGAGAAGTCTCCCATTTGGAACTGGATGTCTCTGTATAGACTAGAGGTTTTTAGAAAACATTCTTGGCTTCAAACTACACTACTTGAAATCATCAATATCAGCCTGACATGTAGCTGTAGAGTCTTGCTGACTCTTAAAAAATAGAGTCAAGGCTTTTTCCTAAGTTCAGGATGATATAGGTCTAAAAATGAAATTATATATGTAAGAAGTTTAAGGCCACAGGTGACCAGAGAGTGCCAATAGTTACTTAGTGGGAATGCACACTGATAGAAAAATAAAACTGTGTAGAAAACTATTTAGTTCTTTTACAAAGTTTGCAGATACAGCGATTTTTTGACAAGCATTTCCTTCCTATAGCAGCAGCTGCCAAATATACTAGGCTGCGAGGAAAGGAAGAAAGGAAAAGCTTATGTCTCTTGCTGGGATGAGAGACATACCCTGTACGTAACTCTGCACAATGTTGGACTTTGCCAGATGAGATGGGTAGAGTCCAGAAACTCTGACAAGGCTGAATGACAATGACACATTTGCAGTATAGGCAAAGGACACAGCTCCAAGGACGGATCCGGTTTATTAGTTCTAGGAAAGCTCTGCAGTCACCCTGTGATTGGGCTGGGGTGATGTGGAATCTATCAGCACCAGGGAATTGTTCTTTCTAAAGGAAATGTTACAAGGTTTCAGGTTAGAGAATAGATCAGAATCAGAATAGATCAGTTTCTATATCAGACGGTGACATCAGATGGCCTGGTGTCTAACTGCTACTGCAGTCACAAGGGGGTTAACTAGTCAAATGGTCAGCAGTAACTCTAAGAAGAAATTAGCCTGTGCACTTCAGTAATAAAAAAAGTAGAGGTAGAAAGAAAGGTCTGCCATTGGAATTGCGTTTGTATGTTCACCTCAACAGGCCACTAGGAGAATTTTGGATAAAAATTACCAGATACTGTCTTGAAACCCTTTTGAGCTGAAAGGTTTTAGGAATTTATGGAAGTGCAGACATGGAAAGTACGAACTTTCCTAGGGCTAGGGAGTGACCTTGAGATGGAGAATGGTTTTGATTGTATTTCTTTCTTTTGGGGGCTGATTTACGAGCAGAGGAGTGCTCCAATTGTATTGTGTTAGTTTTGCAGAGCCAATGCATCAAATCACTCAAGGAGCTGGTAAATAAAAATTCCAGAAGATCCTGCACTCCCTTTTTGAAGTTATGGGACTAAATGCCAAACAGAATATTGAGCTGTGATGTTTCCTTATGCAAAAGCAGTGGGTATGCTCATCAGGAACATAATATTTTCTGCCACAGGCAGGACAATTCTTGAGGCTGGGAGGGAGAGGTTGCTGCCATACAGTTTGAGGGTCAAAAGAAGCCACCACAGCCTGTGGAAAAGGACAAAGCCCAAGAGCAAACTTTAGGCTGAAGTCCTAAATATAACCGAATGAATAAATAACAAATACAGACATTAAAAGAGAATCTAAATGTTTATGCAAAAGAAACATAGGATTATGTTTCTTATAACCCTACATAGAGCTATGACCCAAAAGATAAGCTCAGAGGAATAGAGAAGGAAGGGCAACATTCTGCCAACTCTATTACCAGGTGAACCACACAGAAAGGGAGTTGGACTTAAAGCAAATTTCCCATGGATATTTTTTGGGGAGGGGAAAAAAAAAAAAAGCTGCTCTGACTGTCATTGCTAATGAAGGTATAAATAGACTATTGCTTGAATAAAAGCAATATTTTTTGATAGGGATTTTCACTTCCCACTTGAAATTTTTAATCTGCTCCATTGGCACTAGATGATGGGTCACAGAGGAAAACAGCAAAAATTCTCTATGAATTTTTGATTTTTTTTTCTATGAAAGCTATACGGCTAAATGTTTAGATTCAGGAGAAGGAAAGGATATATGACATTTAAAATTACTTGAATTCCTTGAAACTTACTGTAGAAGTGTGACTGATGTTGTGTCTAAATTTTGGCTCAACAAATGTGAAAAGCTCTCTTCAATAGGCAAACTCTACAGAAAACCGTCTGGAATTTGAAAGGTGGCCCAGGCAGATATGCAAACGATTCTGCTTTTCTGGATGGTTCAAATACTCATGCAATTTTTCTTCGTGCTCTTGAAAGTTCTTCCATGAAGAGATAAGATAACCTGTCTCCCAATTTATGAACTGATATGTACATTTTGTATTTTCCTATCTGTGGAAATTTTGTATTTGCCTATAATCCCAAGTGATTACAGCCCTACTTGTTACATTTCTCTTCTGACAAGCTTAGATTTTCCACCTTTTGCAAAGCAGTATGTTCAAATTAAATCGATGGAATGCTATGTAAACAATCCAACAGCAAGTAAGAGAGGAGTTTCAATAATTGTCTGTGAAACCAGCCATATACAAGGACAGAACCTTCTACCAGTGATGAAAAGCAGAGGGAAACTACAGAAACCACATGTCAGGAAAGTTTCCCAAATGTGATTGTGGGTGTAGTCTGGGCTCTGAACAAGACAAAGAGCAAAGCAAAGAAGAAAAAAAAATGAAGAATAATGAGCAGAAAGGACTGAAATGAGAATGTTAAAATTTAAATTGCTTACAAGATTTTTTGATGAGTTTTTCTTTCAAAGAAATCAACAACAAATGCAATTTTTTTTTTTTTGGTATCACTTAATGAAGCAAAATATTACTTTGTACAGTAAAACTTTTTTTTTTTTTTGCAACATATGTGTTTGTTATATACAATTGCCATTCTTTAAAGATACTTTCACAAGAAGAAATTATATGAAGTTGTGACTGTGACTGCAAAGGCCAGGAATCAACTCTTTCCATTCCTTGTCCTCTGAGTACACTTGTATTAATGATCAGATACTGACTCAAACTATAAAGCCTAAAGTAATTTCTGTGACTGAAGAAAAATCATATATAATATGTCTTTGGAAAACTCCTTTGTACTTTCTGCTTCAAATAGAAAAAAAAATAAGCTTTAAAGTCCATCTTTTAAATTAACTGACACATAACTATTTTGTGAGACTAAGCACCCAAAGCATTTGGCATTTCCATATATTAATGTGTGAAGCTTTAATGCTTACTCATACTCCTTCAGTCCTGCTGCAGAAATGCAAATAGCATTTCAGGGTCTTGGCCATGCAATTAGTTTGCTATTGGGGTATAACAGAATTCTGGTATCGAATGCAGAGTGGATAATGTTGCATTTCAAGCCTAAGACTAAACCACTACAATCATAATGTAGCACTTATATACAACAAAACAACAATCTATTAATCTAGGCACTTAATATACATATGAACATATACAACAATAGACTTCTAATGGTAAGTTTTTATCCTCGGAAAGTATGATGAAAATTATTTCAAAGCTGGATTCAAAGGAGGAGTTTGCAATTTCAAACAGTAAAAACAAGTACCTGGCATAGAAGGTGAGGACTACAAGATTACCTACTATGCCTACTATAAAAGCTGCATCCTGCTACTCTAATTATGATATTTTCATCTTGTTGAACTTCATAACTATTAAAGAAAAAGTAGTTAACATTCCCTTCCTTTTTAAACTTAAAAAAGCAGCTGATTCTTGGCTTTTCATAAGAGCAGAAATACCATGAGATAGATCAGCTTTACACTTTTTTTTTTTTTAATTAGGAGCAGAGAGCATATTTGCAGAAAAGGCAGATTTGGAAAAATCATTTGATCTTTGCAGTATTTACACAAGGAGAACATTTGGGATTTTTGAGTTCTCCTTTTCATCATATTATATGTATTTTTGTGGTCATTTTCATTAAGTAAATAAAATTCATCAGCCTTAAGTTGAGACATACAGTTCTTGTACAGGAACTCCAGAATTCTTTTGTAACTGGATTCTTTTCCTATTCCTTCCAAAGCAAAGGCTGATTTTCTTATTTGAAAGACTT